AACCAGAACTTTTGCAAATAGTCAAAAGTCTAAATCGACCCAAGATCTATACTATTGATAAAGCATGGACACACGAGCCTGAGACTTCCACCGTACCATTCCCATTTAAACCCTATTGAGTTGGTTTGGCCAAGGATTAAACACGATGTCTCTGACAAAAATATGACTTTCAAAATAGCGGACATCATAAGACATTGACGACGAATGCTATATTTGACGTAGACAGACACTACTGGAAGAAATGTGTTGAACACGTCATGGCAGAAGAGAACAATTATTGGAAAACTGACGGGTATGGATTTATTCAACAAAAGACGGTTATCTATCCCTTTGGGTCCGATTCTGAGGACGATCAATGACTCCTCTCCTTTTCAGGTGAGTTTTTATCTTTTTAAAACTTAAAAGTGTTAGCTGTCCATTGTAACCAAAATATTATTTTTATGCCCTTGGAAAGTCATTTACGTTTCGTTTGTCTGGACTCGTTCACCTTGGTCCTGGTGACTTTCTTGTCATCCATACATTTCCTACGAGTTCCGCCCCTGCTTTGTAAAAGTTGGTGTGTTGCAACGAAAACCAGACATTTTCTCTGTGTCATCGTATGTTACTTTTATTGTAAAACTTCTATTATAAATCTGACATAGTTTCGGTGAAAATCAAAGGAACCCTGTCGGAACCTAACTTGTAAAGGTTTCTCAACCACAAAATTTATAATCTGTAACGTCCAGTAATATCTAAAATTATATGGAAAATTTCAAAGCAATCAAACAGAGGACTTCGCGATGATTTGCTCTTAGGTGTGGGCAGCTGAGGCTGAACGACCTATAATACACGTCTTTCTGAACCAGTAGAGCGGACATGGAGAAAACCGGTTGCAATGTAGCCATTGCCCCATAAACAACTGAACAAATAATTGCAAAGATCATATATAATACACACTATGGCTCACTCCCTGAAAATGCATCCGCTGCAACCAACACACAATAACAAACATCACTACCCATGATGATGAAGAAATTTAGTTTCATTTCTGAAATAAAAATACTTCTGGCACATTATTTGCCTCTAATTCTTTCTTTTATTTTATGTCTGTAAAAATAGTCATCTTACACGCAACCTTCTTTTTGCTGCCACATGCACAGTCACAGATACCTTCGCTTCATATCACGAACAGTGGAGAGACCCATTATATAACATACAATCTTTCACAACCATCCTCACTTTGTAAGGCCTAAGAATTTTTTTTAAAAAACGTATAAAGATCAAGATGCTCGGATGGACTGATTTCCCAACACTTTCACGACCACTTGGTCGATGACGGACACAGCGGTGGCTGTGATTGGGTACTGGACCGGGAGCTTCCTGGACACTGCTGGGGCCTGGATGAAGTACCTGAGAGGGAAACAAAGAGGTGGGCGTGACATTGGAGGGAAAAACAAGATATGTGAGCATGACATTGGAGGGAAAAACAAGATATGTGAAGCAGGGTGGGGAGATCAGGCGTTTGTCAAAATAATGAAAGTGAAGAAACTAGCATTTTCCCGCAGGTTTGGGAATTTCTATTAAATTTTGGTTTTTTGGCTCAACACCTTTGATATCCATATTAAAACATATTATTTCTATGTGGATTTTACTGAAAAGCATCCATTAAAGGTACAAGGCAGCCATTTTCTCATTAATTTTACCTCTGAAACCAGATGACTCCAACCATTTTCAATCGCAAATATCTTGACTTCTATTAAAGACACATGGGTATTCTTTTAATAGAAAGAAACACAAATGAACAAGTTTTATTTAAGACAATACCAATAACTCAACATTCCCAAAAATTGATGAGGGCCCAATTCCTCCGTGCAATGACACAAACATACCACACTTGGCACTTACTTGTTTAGTTTTAATAAGTGTTTTACGGCACTTGCAACACAATAAGGTCATATAAGTGCCAAAGATTAGAGGTGTTACAAGAGAGTAACAAATACAAAAAAGAAGGAGACGGGATCGTTTCGTTTTACGTTTTAGTAGAGGTTTTACGGCGCTCGCAACTGTATAAGGTCATATGAGCGCCAGAAGATTAGAGGTGATACAAGAGAGTAACAAACATAAAAAAGAACAAGGGGAGATAAGGACAATAGATGTTCGATAGGAAAGAAGGAGCAAACCACACTAGAGCACCCGCCAATCACTTACTTGAATTCCTCATAGTAGTGGTTGCGTACGTGTGTCACCACAGCCTTGTTCTGCTCCAGGAATACCAGCAGCAGAGAGAACATCTGGAACACCTGGATGGCGTGGGCGGGGGTCAGCTGGTCAAACCGAGACAGAGAAACCAGCTCCATAATCTGGGCCAGTAACCGGTCAACAAATTTCTCCTGGAGAGGGGAGGACACAAACATTTTAGTTGTCAATGTGAATTTGTGGGGGGAAGCTTGTGTGAAAGTTCTTAATAAGCTCCACTTCAGTATTGGCTTACTTTAGGCCATTCACAAAGGGGGGAATATTAACATGTTCTTAGACACAGTAGAATTGTAAATGGGCTGATTTATCAATGTCAGGCTCAGAACTGTACCGGAACAACATAGGGGGAACTGCTGCTTTTTCTTTTCTCATCCTTACTATTGTCATTTTTTCCTCTACTTCTTTTGTACGTTTGTCACTCTCTTGTGACCCACTATTTCCAAGGTGCCTTGGTAGTCAAAGCAGACTCTGTGCTGTTGAGGCTAGAGAGCTGAGCCGAGTAGGCCTGATTCCCAGTTAGGACTTCTCTGTTGACATCCACCCCTTGGCACTCATGTGACCTTATGCATTTGCAAGCGCAGTAAAACCTTACTAAAACTAAACTAAAAATATAGTCATAGGGTCAGTAATAAGAGTCGGAAACCGTTACATTTTTTTTTTTTTTCAATTGGAAACTTTTGCACTATGGTTACATCCCCACACTTTGAAAACCAGGAAAGGGGTACCCTAAATGGTAGTCTTACTGCATATTTCTATAGTCCATTTTACCCCACTCCCCTCCCTGCTAAGCCAGCCTATAAGGAACAACATAGAAATGTATTTGTATATTGTACTCAACCCTATGGTCCTCACACTCCACCATTCAACTTTAGATGCTGGAGGAAACAGGCTTTTATTATTAAGTCAACTAAACAATAAAATTATCTTTGATAAATAGGGATTGCTAATAATATATATTTTTTAAAATGATATTAAAGCATAAAATAACAGCAGTAGATTTTTGTTGACATGCGCCTAGAAAAATGAGTGGAGTACAAGAACAGCAAACAACAGAACAAAACACTCGAGTGGCCCCAGAGTTCAGTGGCAAAACAATAACAACAAGAAAATACGCACTATTACAAAAAAAAACACATTATGTTGAGTTACTTAAAAACACAAAAGATAAAGAAATAAGGGTTACAAATGTCCGCTATAGTATTCTGTTTCTTACAAAAAGCAATTTTAGAGTAAGAGAATAAGAGAAAGGATCACATCCACAAGACCAAACTACACTTGTACTCACAGCGGTCTTTTCCTCCTTGAACAAAGTAGTCATCCCCGTGATGGTCAGAATCTCCATCTCATCACTCGAGGCCTGGGGGTAGGGAAAAAAACGTCACTCATTAGTCATCGCGATGAACTGTATATTCAAAACAGGAGCGTTGCATTGGGTCTTATGAACATAAGGTACAATAACCCACAAGACTAATGTCAAATATATTCACCTTTTACTGCACTTTCCTTAATGAATTTGGATTCAAAACTTACCAATGACAGCCTTATTACTGATCAAACAAACAACCTCTTGTGTTCACTCGTACACAGCAAGCCGTTTTGATTAACTAAATGATCATGAATGTCATAACTGATAGCAAATATGCCAACCGTTTTAAAGACTTTTATAAAACTTCATATTACTGTTTTCTTGACATATTGTAACTTTACAAGGCACACATACATACATAAGTGTACATGTTCTTTTTTTTCGTAAGAGTTTTAGGGCACTTGCAACACAATAAGGTCATACAAGTGCCGAGGATAAGAGGAGTTACAAGGGAGTAACAAAAACAAAAAAGAAGGAGGGGAGATAAAGATGATAGATGTTTGATAGGAAAGAAGGAGTAGACCACACCAGAGCACCCGTCTACCACTCATGTGTACATGTTCATTATGTTAAGAAAGACACAAATAAGGGTAAAAAATTCTCTTGTTAACAGCTGTCAGGAACTGGCCCACTCTTAAACACGGAACATAGGAGTGGATTTCAACAGAAGAACAAAATTATTGTTTATGTTTTTCAAACCCAAATGAATGCAATTTACATTATTTAGGAGATGGGCTGTCTCTACCTTGCCTATCAGGGTAAACCTGGGCTAAGTGAGATATATCTTAAAGGCAAAAAGATTCAGATCTTCAATAAATTTCCTCAGGGGAAGAATCAAACCCATATCTCTTGTGGGCAATGGTGCAGAGCATAACCATTACACTGTAGGTGCTGATAAAGAAAGCCTCGTTTAAGCTCTGCCTGTGGAAGCACATGGACACGGTGCTTATTTTATAGATACAAAAATGGACAAAGTGACGCAAAGAAATACAGGAAGTTCATGACAAAATGACACACAAAAGTGACAGAGGTTTACAACACAGAGAAATACAGAAAAGGTTAACCTTTGGTTTTGTCTGCTTTTTAATTAAGAATTTTACGGCACTTGCAGCACGATACATCAAATAAGTGCCAAAGATTAGAGGTGATACAAGAGGGTAACAAACAGAAAAAAAGAACGAGAGTTAATGACGATAAATGTTTGATAGGAAAATGGAGCACATCACACAAGAGCTTCCACCAACCACCAACGGAATAGATGTTTATATCGGAAGTTAGTTTACATTTAGTAAAAGTTTTACGGCACTTGCAACACAATAAGGTCTTATAAGTGCCGAAGAATAGATTATGTATTACAAGAGAGTAACATACACAAAAAAGAAGGAGGGGAGACAAGGACGACAGATGTTTGATAAGAAAAAAGGAGCAAACCACACCAGAGCACCCGCCAACCAACCACTTACATCAGAAGAACTAGCATGTAAAGACCACTGGTAAAAAAAACTGTACAGCATAAATCATACAAAGGTCTTGACTTTACCTGCTTGGCAACCAGAAACAGCTCAAACATGGAAGCAATAGCCGTCCTGATGTACTCCGTCTTTAAACGTGACAGCTGCGGATAGAGGAAGAGACAATGTTGATGGCAGGGAAAAGTGATCCCTCCTATATCATGCTCCATAAAAATGTTTAAAAAAATGAAAATGCGAGGCAAGATTTTTAAAATTCACAGAGAACTCCCTAAATAAGCTAATATTTTCTTCTGAGAATTATTAGGTTTACATTGGGGAACAATTTACTTCCACACTTCTACCACAGGAGCGGCAGAGGTGGTAACTGGCAGCACAAAGAATCCTGAACTTTTCAGACACTGTGGAAATGCAAATACAAGGACTCAAAGTTTATGGACCATTTTGTCCAATACATCTAGTATCAAGACTGTTTTCTTATAAAGCGCAATAACACCTCAACAATTGGCCTGAAGTCAGGCAAAATCTGGACAATTTCAGGAATCCACCTTTCTAGATTTATTCTGAGAGTAAATTGACATTGCCCAAATATAGGGAAAGTTAAAAAAAACACTGGCAGTTAACAAACATACATCTAGCCCTGTTCTAGAAGCTTTCAGCCCTTACCTCCTCATCCAGGTTCTTCTCTGACGCACCCTGCTTGGAGCCAGCAAAAGGGGCAGACCAGTGTTTGGTGAGGGTCAGAGGTCGGTATGGGATATCCGGCTGACACATCAGGATCTTCAGCAGTTCCGTGACCATCTTGCCACTGAATCATTGATAAAAAAAATATTTCTTTCATCGCCTGATGTCAATCCTGACATTAACATAAACATCTGTCATCTATCATAGTAATATCTATTTTAACATTGTATTGCATCGATAGCACTTGGAAAAAATTTCATAATTTTGTTCTTTTCTTGAATGCATACTTATGTGGGAGCCTGACAAAACCAAGAAAAGTACACATTTATCAAAACTGAGATAGGACAAAAAAAGTAACTTTGGGGGCAACAGTCAAAACATGAAATTCCAGTGAAAACTTAGATATTCCTGCGACACAACACGGACACTCAGAAGCGGCCTCATGGAGTAGCTTTTGACACCTCACAAACAATTTAACTGAACCCTAGACAGCACAACCTCTGGGCAAAGATGTTCTGCCATAAACTGTATAACATGCTTTTGGTTATATAACTATTTGACCTTAGGTCCCTCAAGCCTCTCTTGAACCCTTGCACCTGAGCACCATGTACCCTGGGTTCAATGGATAGATTTGTCCACAGCATGCAGAAGACATTATACATCATACATTGACAACTTAAAATCCGACAGTGGTCTGAAGCTTCATGAAACAATGCATCAAGGCAGAGATCGGGGAAAGATAGAGACCTGATGTGGTAAAGAGTGGGGCACAATGGACCAACATCATAATGGTGACAGATGACAGGTGATGCTGAAGTGTTCATTTGGTGCTCAAAGAGTAATGAAGAGGCATGCTAGGATTCATGGGGTTAAAACATGTGCTTTTGAGCATCTGTTTAAAAAAAAAAAAAATTCTACAATGCTTCTACTTACCTCTCCAGCCTCAGTGTTTGCATACGAGATGGTAGAGTCTCCGACTCCCGAAACATGACGTTAATCGTAGACAGGAGTAAGATGACGAATCTGGAAGTGTTAGAGAAAGTCAGAACTTGTCAGTGGATGCCATTTACTAACTGAAAAAGACCACCATAAATCAGTCAGATTTGATCTGCTCTGTCTAACTGAGCCAGGGCTTACACTGGTCAAACACAACCCAACACAACCAAATCTAAGACTGCCCAAACACAATCCAACAGGGCCATAGCATATACTTATGGCCTTCTGCAAACATTAGAAATGGAAAGTGGCAGTAATCAGTAAAGTCGTTTGAAAATGCCAACACCAAAAGTCGAATCTCAGTATTATGAAAGTACAAAGGTAAAAGTACAGCATCACTCACAATAGTGAAACAATAAAGGCCTAGTGTCTGAGGCAAAATTAGTGAGAAATATACACTTACTCCAGCTCATCTGCCCTCTGTGCTTTCCCTTCCTCTGTGCTCAGGGGTGCAGAAGACCCAGGCAAGAACTTCTGGAGCTGTAATATCATGAAGCTGAAGACATCCGGGTTCTGGGAAAGAGAATCAGACATCACAAAATAAAATGTCGCAGTTGAAATGAAAATAAATGGAAACACAATTTGGCAAAATCTAAAATCAAACCCCACATGAAACTCAAGAGACTTTGACAAAAACACAGGCATCTATAAACAACAAGTAGCCTACAATAGAATGGTGAATAAAGAGGCAATGGACACTCAACTCAGGGGAACAAAAGGCCCAATACAATGTTTTGAGAATTTTAATTGGAGACCCTGCCTGAGGTAAACGCATCTATCCCAGGGATCACATGATGGTGGGGTGGGAAGGGTGGGTGTAAATAAAACTAGCTGTCCGACTGTCCTCTTCAAAAACAAAATACATTTACTTACAGGCAGGGAGGAGGGCGGGAAGGAATGAGATGTGATTTCAGTGACTTGTGCGTAAACACAATATTTTCTGCAGAAATGCGTATGCCCCTGAAATCAAGCATAGCAAAGTAGAACAATTTCTTTTTTAAATAGAGCAAAAATTTCATTTCACATCCTCAGTCCCCCCCTCTCTCTCTCTCTCTCTCTCTCTTCTGGCACTGCGGTGTCATAAATGGTCAGCGATGCCCACAGCATGCAGGAACTATACACTTGCTAAGAGTCCTGTAATCCGGATCTACACTGTGCTCCCCTTAATCAAATCAGTGACTCACCCTCCAGAAAAGTTTCTTGAGCATAAAGTTTGCCTGGACAGCGGTGAGCAGCTCGTCGACCAGAGAGAACTGGGTCTCTAGACCCTGGCCAGGCTGGAACAAGTCTCTCTTCATCTTGTTGTAGCGACGTTCTATTTTGTCCCTGAGATGAGCGAGAGAGAAAAATGTACAGATTTAATATTCCAATAAATCATGAAATGATTGAAAATGTTTTTCCACGCCCCTATTGATCCAATTTTGGCAGTGGAAAGCTTCCACCCTGTCTATCAGGGCCACCAACATGGGCAGAGAGAGACACAGCATCTTAGCAGAAAGATGTGAAAGATGGAGATACCTAATAAAAAGAAACTCCCCCCCCCCCTTTCTTTTGGGTGTCAAACTCATATTTTCTGCATGCAACAGCAGAGTGCCCTAATCATGACATCACAAATTCCTGTTTTAAAGCGACTTTCTTTTACTAATAGTAATAGATAGCAACATGGACACACTCTTGACAGTAGTTTACATATTACGCTCCGTTTCTTACCCTACAAACATGAGGAAAGTACCGAGATAGCTGGAAATAAATTACCTTGTAATAGCATTACCTCTCAAGGGATAACTTTCTAAGGTTATTTATTCTTTTTTCAAAAACGACAGAGAAATTTCGGCAAAAGAATCAAAAGTTTCATTTAAAAAGAATAAACATAAACTGTTGTGTGTAACTCACAATAGCATTACCTCTCAAGGGATAACTTTCTTTGGCAAAAGAATCAAAAGTTTCATTAAAAAATAACTTACATAAACTGTTGCCTGTGGGTTTTTTTTAAATCACAATAATATATTGCCTATAACTGGATCACCAGATCAAAGTTCAGCCTTTTTGTTTCATTCCTTTGAATATGAAATTCATTTCACTCATAGAATAATGAAGGGACACGAGCTCACATATTCAGTTTCATAAAGCTATATATCATGGGTCTCAACTCAGAATTCTAAAAAAGGAGGAACGTTCCCGGTGATCGCCACAGAAGCCCATTTTCGCGAAACACCCATTATTATTATTATACTGTTGAACCCTAGAATGCAGAAATAAAAACCTTGTGCGACTTTTTAATTTTTCCCTTCATCATATTCGCCTGTATATATAAACTTTATAAAAATGAATCTTGTTTTGAAGTACAGAAGTATAGCCCAAGTATACCTTTTCAGTGTGAGAGGAGTAAAAGAACTGAGGAGGGCAAGAAGCAGTGAAACTGAAAATCTGCGAATCTTGAATAGAAAGCTAAAATATAGAGATCTAATTTACTGTCACCAATCCAATAAAACGCGAACACTTAGGCCCCCAAGTTCCACAACACGCTTACAAGTTATGACGGTTCCCGTTTTCACACAAGGCCTGCACCAACGCACACTTTACTTTGCAAAGAGCTGTAGTAGTAATCAAAATTCTAAACATAAAACATATTTGCTTCCAGTTTCAGATTTTTTGTCTTCTGGTGTTGCGTCCAGCCCTCCCCCTATCCCCGAGTGCGTCTTTAAAAAAACACAACAATAATCTCCCCCCATTCCTGAGTCCTGTACTTCGAAGCGCTCAGATTGCTCAGAACGCGCGCAGGTTCATTGACCGGTCGCAATGGCGAGCCCGGCAAGACGCTTGTATTATAACTTTCTTTTCTTTTCTTTTTGTTGCCCCCATAAGTGACGGCACAGTGACAAATATTGATTTATTTTCATGGCGACACCACGTTTGTAATGTCGAACCTGCATGTTACAATAATTGTTGCGTTAATATCAGACAATTACTGACAAATTTCTGGGTGGTAACGAAAGCGAAAGTAGATCTTGATTTTCCAGTCGAACCTTGGTGACACAATTCCGCTTGCCGCCAAAACCACCAGTTCGCGCGAAACGTACTCTCTGAGCCGAATTAATATCACAATCGCGACCGGTAGAAATGAACTTAAAGACGTTATTGGATTTGGTTTTCAAATGAGATCTTTTATTTTTTTTCCGGGGCTCGGCGATTTTTTAAAAAATTCCCGGGACCTGGCAACCACCCTGCTCCCAACAACTCTCTTTCTGATTGGCCCGCTGTCGCGGTAGCGAAGTTTAGCAGAGGAAATGGCGGTAGCGGAAATCCGCTAAATAGCGGACTATTGAGACCCATGATATATAAAGAGTCATATTCAGGAATAAGAATTGAAAGCACATCACGATCACAGTAGAAGCTGGTATCATACGATGTAAAAAAAAAAGTCGACAGTTTCACCAAAAACAGGAAAAACAAGATCTAGGCACCACCAGAGCCCTATCTGTTACACATTCAAGCACATTCTCAAAGGCTTCAAAATGCTGAAGCGGATAAGAAAACACACATATATACATGACACCGGCCACTTTATCAAACAATATAGAATAGTGGCGTGTTCAGAAATGTCCAGAATATTAGAACTGAAAAATGTATTACAAGAATTAACCTGGGCATACTAAGACAATGTAATTTAATATATAACAGAGGTTAAGAAATATAAAATAGAGAGACACACCATATTTCTGTTAATTATGGAATGTAAAATATATATAAAATCATCAGAATATAATTGTAAGCATTAAATCTGGGAAAGAGAAAAATATTTTTTAGTAAGCTGTACATTCAGAGTTTTGTCTCTCCCTTTCTTCACCCCCACCCCCACCTCTTCAGGCATTGGTAGATATACATGTACAGACACCAATGCGCAAGCGTGCATACATTAAAACACATGACATGTATGTGTTGAAATGAATTGGTTTGCATGAGTAAATGAGTAGGTTTATAAGTGTGTGTGTGTGTGCGCGTGCGTGTGTGTGTGTGTGTGTGTGTTTGTGTGTGCGCGTGTGTGTGTGTGTGTGCGTGTGTGCATGTGTGTACGTGTATGGGTGCGTGTGTGCATACATATATATATATATATATATACATATATATATATATATATATATATATATATAATGTGTGTGTGTGTGTGTGTGTGTGTGTGTGTGTGTGTGTGTGTGTGTGTGTATGTGTGTGTAGCCTGCGTGCGTATATAGAATGAAAGCCAGAACAGAATATCTATCAAAATCAAAAACTTGAAGTCACTGAATTATTGCCTTCAGCATGGGCATCCCTTCCATAGTCAGAGCTCATGAAGTTGCAAGTATTCAGATAAAAAAGCAGCATATCAATGAAGCATATTTTTGTATTGACAAAGACTAACAAAAAGCTCTGACCCAGAGCAGAAATACAACAGAAAAGTATGCAAACCGATTTAAATGTGAAGGAGGCCCCGAAGATGTAAAGAATGACAAGGCAAAAAATGGTCTTAAGCATTTACCGTACAGAAAACAAAGCCAAAGTTTTTTTTTTTAACAAAACACTGATTGTCGCACAGATCACAAGCCCATTCAAAACAACAGCTATACATTGATTTAGAAAGTTATGAAAACATCTACAAAAAACAGTACTTAAGTCCAAAAAGACACAGGAAGAGAAATAAGAAAAAGTCAATGGAAATAGTTGACAAAGGCATACAATGTTGTTGAAGAAAGCCACAGAATATATCACACACGCTAACAGAGTCGGGTTGTGTTAGTGCGAATAAATAGGAGGAAAAGCTAACATTGGACGAGACAGCGAGAGAGAAAGAGAGAGAGAGAGAGAGAGAGAGAGAGAGAGAGAGAGGGAGAGAGAGATAGAGGGGGGAAGAGAGATCTGCAAAACATTCTCACCTCCAAGTCTGTTCGCTGAACAACGTCAGAAGTAGAGTGACGTTAAAAACATGGCATGCAGTACTCCACAACACAAATCAGGTTAAAACTAGCCATACACCGATATCGACAAAAAACCAGACGTTTGTCCACATAGAGAGACACACAGTCAAATACCCACAAAGAGAGACACACAGTCATACAACAACATAGAGACATACAGTTAAACAGACGCATGGAGAGACACATTCTATGCCCACGTACAAAGACACAGTCTCATGCACACAAAGATGAAAAAGGTCATAATATGCCTATATACAGAGACACATGGTCTCACACACACACACCTAGACCCAGTCATACGTCCATAGAATTACACGACAATATACAGATTCATATAGAGACATATCAACATTATACAGAAATATGGAGATACCCCCATATATTACGTACAGAGACACATCAAATATATAGAGACACATACAGACAGACATCCACATGATGTAAAAATATACACCCACATCTAGAAGGTCACAGAGAGACTCAATCATAAAAGCAACCCCAGTCACCCAATCAAAACAAGTCCTGTGTCAAAATTTCAGCAGCTAACCATCAGTCTGAAGCATGGATGGTCGTAGAGGAAAGATGCTTTTTTTAGATACCAAAACAGGCTGTAAACTCAGTGCATTATAAACGGGACGGGCCACAAAACACTTTTGAACAATAATGCCATTACTACACAACCAGTACTCAGTGCCACTGGAATATGGAAAGACAGTATGCTGGCGTTGCAGCCTTTTTTGACTGCGACAAAATATGACATCAAAGGCGCGTTTGAAATTATGGTTGTCATGTGACAAAATGAGCCTAGGCAAGACTGCGGGGGTACTGAACAGTTTCTCATTTTTTATTTTTTTTCTTATCAAATACATCTTTTCAAAAAAAATAATTCAAACGTAGAAATAATATTGTGTACTGCATGGATAGTAGCCATTTTGTGAAAGGAAAGAAGCAAGATACATGGAAACAGATGGAAAGACAAAAAGTAAGTCCCACCAGTGACACTCTTCATCCACCCCAACTTTTGAACTGGAGATATATACACCCATACAAACGACACCATTTCAATTCCAAGAATTGAGTGACATGCCGGGACACATTGTGAAAGTGACTGGAAAAACCACACAAAGTCATGCAAAAAACACTTGTCAAGCAGAATAAACAAGGTCAAACTCTGATGAAATAGAGAATTCAAAACTTTTCCTTCTTTCTCTCATTTACACACCCCCCCCCCCCCCCCCACCCCCAACCCCGTTCCGTTATTTTTTTTCCCAAACACAAATATCATATTTTTTTCGTCGTCTGACTCAATTTTTTTTTACCTTCTAACTTTTAATAACACAAATCATACAGACAGACACACACATGCAGACATATACAGACATATACACACAGACATATACAGATACACAGAAACTAATGCACATACACATACATACACATAAACACACATACACACACACACACACAAACAGAAAGGCAACAAGTGAGATACGAACCTGGACTGTACAGACATGGCGTCGGGCAGTGTCGTGATCTCGATGTGCTCTGGCTCCAGAGCTAACGTGGATCTCTGGACAAACGAAAAGAGAAACACAAACATATGAATAAAAATAATTTACATGCCCTCACACCAATTTTAGTTTTAGTTTTAGTAAGAGTTGCACCGCATTTGCAACACAATAAAGTCATATAAAAGCCGAAGATTAGAGGTGTTACAAGCGAGTAACAAACACAAATAAGGAGGATAGATCAGGACGATAGATGTTTGATAGGAAAGAAGGAGCAAACCACACCAGTGCACCGCCAACCACCCACTCTAACCAATTTAAAACATTCATCTTTTTTTAATAAAAAAGAGCTGCTGATCGCACTTGTCAGAAGCCAGCCAGGGCTGTGTAGTATCCAGCACAAAAACAGAGATGCTCGATAATATTTTGTATAGATGCAGAAATTGAACTGGTGTCTTTTGCATTTATGTATGATCATAGACAGCACACCACAGACATCAGAAGACACAGCAAGACATTAAGACTGGAAGATATTATGGCCAAATTAGTAGAGGATGCAGTAGAAAAAAACAACATTACTATGGCAAGGTTAAAGTATGAAATCACCACATAAATAGAAGAAAATGGCCCAATCAGTGCCATGTGAAGATTATAAATTTTTATGGGGAGCTTATGTGAAATAATATACCTTTTCTGTATTGGCACGCTGTAAGGCCGATTTATTGTGAACTAGTACTGAAAGGATTGAGTGTATAAGAGGACAAATAATCCTTTTAAAAACCAAGAAGAAAGTGGTTATATCAGTGTCATGAAAAGATTTTCCCTCTTTCAAAGCGTAGATTATAGAACAATATCATTTCAAAAGTGATATGCTCTGATGAGAACTTTTAGGGTATTTGACCTAACAACAGGTATCTTAAGGGAACAAAATACAGTAAAAATGATGAAGAATGGTGTGATCAGTCCCATGTGAAGATTTTAACTCTAAAAGAACGAAACTAAAATGGAATATCATTTTTGTCAAAGGGAAGTCTCAGGGAATGCTCTATCGTGACAAAATCCTGAAAGGATTAAACACATTTTTAGAGAAAGAGTACTTTGAAATAGAAACCAAGCAGAAACTCACAATGACGTAATTGCTCCAGGCACTTTTGAGCAGCATGAGGAAAGGCGAAGTGAGGTTGAGGAGGTATATGTTGAGCACACACTTCCTCCGCTCCATCATTCCATCCACAGAGAGTGTGTTGAAACCCATGAAGGAGGCAGCCCGGCCCAAGTCGGTGGACGAGGTGTTCAGTTCGTTACTGGTCAGAGAGAAACACAGGGTAAAAGTTTTTTTTTCTAAACTAATACATTTTCCTGCAGAAGGATGATCACAATCCGAGGTTTCCTTTTCTAGTAAGCTATAGCTGCAACTCCACTGTGACCCGTGTAGTGACCTAGACTTGACAAACAACGTTATACAGTATAAAGTGGGCAGCTATGCTTTACTTTTACCAAAACAGTAATAGTAGGATTGTAAATGTTTAATGCTAGAATCAAAACAATTCAAATCAAGTAAGCTATAAACTTTGACTTCTCCCTTCCCGTTTCCTCTTGTATCTATTAACAAACTCAGCATGATAACAAGGACAGGTTAGTCTTCTCTCATCTTTTCACCTCTTACGCTATTTTTTTCTGTTACAGTTAGCTCTCCTTCCTTCTCTTACTATTAAACATACTATCTTTCCTTCTTTTATACACACATCATGTTCTATTACCCTATTCGTTAATATTCACTTCTTACACTAACCTTTTTATCTTACACAGGTTCCTACTCTACTCTTCAGCATTTATTGTCTTCTTTTGCACACAGCAAAACTTAAACATCTCTTTTTTCCCTCATTTGCAAGCTCCTTCTCTTCTGTTACAAACATTTCTTTTCTTCTCTTACTCTAGTCTTCTCTTATAAACTTTCTTATCTTCCCTTACACACGTGGCGTCGATAGCCTAGAGGTTCGGCTATCGAACTCGCAGGTTCGGGGAATCGACATTGTGTCCTTGGTAAAAGCATTTTACATGAATTTCCCACTTGGCTCAGTCCTTTCAGAGATGGACGTTAAACTCGGAGGCTCCGCCTCTTAAATAACCTAATAGTGTTGATAGGGGTGTTAAACCAATACCATATTTCTCTTACACAGACTCCTTTTCTTCTCTTACACACACTCCTTTTCTTCCCATACACACACTCCTTTTCTTCTTTTACACACAGTCTTACACACACTACTTTTCTTCTCTTACACACACACTTACACACACTCCTTTTCTTCTCTTACACACACACTTACACACACTCCTTTTCTTCTCTTACACACACACTTACACACACTCCTATTCTTCTTTTACACACACTCCTTTCCTTCTCTTACACACACTCCTTTCCTCTTCTTACACACACACTTACACACACTCCTTTTCTACTCTTACACTCACCCCTTCTCTTCTCTTACACACACTCCTTTCCTTCTCTTACACACAATCTTACACACACTCCTCTTCCTTACATGTTCCGGTCCGCCTCCAGCAGAGGTGTCCCGGATCTTGACCCCTTGAGCGAGGAGTTCCGGCTGTACGGCTGGCCTCCCAGGGTGGTGGACAGCTGGCTACCACCGAAGGATGAGCCGGTCTGCAGCTGTTGTAGCGGGTCGAGCTTGGAGTCCAGGTGGTCCGACTCCGAGTTGTTTTTGGTTAGAGTGTTTTTGCAGATCGGAGCCACCTGACCGGAAGGTAGGATTATTTGTGAGAGTTCAGTCGTGATTTTAGAGAAATACGTTTTAGTAAGAGTTTTACAGCACTTGCAACACAATAAGGTCATATAAGTGTTAAAGATTAAAGGTGTTACAAGAGAGTAACAAACACACAAAAGTAGGAAAGATCAAGACCATAGATGTTTGGTAGGAAAGAAGCAGAAAACTACACCAGAGCACCCACCAACTACCCACAGAGAAATATGTTGTCACAATAAAGGCTATCTGGAGTAAAGGAAGGGAAAGATATACAGGTAATAAAATTTAAAAAATGGAAAGGCAAGAAGTAGGACCTATCAGCAGCTTCCTATGACCCAACAGACTGACAGATAAGCAGACATACTGATAGACAGACAAACAGGCAGGCAACAGAAGAATAGTAAAGAAGTAGGAATTTGTGACGATACCAAGACAATATAAAGGAGATAGGAAGACAGCTGCTCATAAAAACACATTCTCAATGATACGTACATAAGCCAGCAAAGGGACTTTCATTTAGAGTTGTACCTTGCTTTTCTTGAGTTAAATGGAAAGTACACTTTCAAAAAACAACTTTCAATCTTTCTTTCCTGCACCATCACAAAAACTAGGTAAACTACTGTCATGCTAAGCTGCATATAACTTATCTAAGTGGATAAAGAAGGCTGTAAGGCATCTGGAGTTGTGAACCCAAAAATTTGACCACATTAGTAAAAACAATTAATATACATTTTTTTCAATATAGAAAAGCAATCAGTGGAGGACCATCAGCTACTGTTTGGGGACTTTCAATTGATAAAACACTTCGTCACAAAAAAATAAACCAAAAAAATTCCAATATCACAAGGGAATAAATCTACACGTACATAAGTATGTTTTGTTTTTGTCTCAAAATCTCACCCTCTTATTCTACATACTTTGTCGTACCTGATTTTTCTGTCCTCTACAACACTTGAAGAAGTGACAGCAGCCCTTGGAGTCCACCTTTTCCACCTCCTTCACCTCCGTGGAGCCCAACAGCTTCTGCATCTCCGCCTCACTGAAACTAGGCTTCGCCTCTGTCTCAAACGCACCAGTCCGCGGCAAGGGTGGGAGGGGCCTCACCGACTGCTGGGAGGAGCTACGTATGGAGACAGAGTCAGAGGTGTTGCCTAATCCCGGAACCGGCCTAGCCCCACCCCCACTGTTGGAAAAGCTGTCACCGTTGCTTGTGTTGAGCCTGCTGCCCGCCAACCTACCCACTGCCCGTGATGGTTCCCCGGACCGGATGATGGACAGACGGTCCTCTTCGATGTCCTCCAACATGTCTTCCTCAATCTCCTCCTGAGGAAAGGAAAAGTCATTGGTAGAAGTATAGGTTTCACGCCTATTTCAACACAACATGCTTACCTCGAAGGGAGGCAGCAACCGAGAGATCTTATAGAAGAAGAAGTGAGTCAACGAAAAGCATACCATCAATAAAAACACACCCACAGATAAGTCGATAGTTAAAGTTTGAGAAGAGATAGCACATCAACAAAATAATCGGGATTCAGTGCAAGGACAGGAAAGAGATAGAAACAACAGAAAGAAAGGGAAGAAGACGGACCTAAATATGGTCCCCAA